TTGACAATCTTGTCGAGGCCGTCGAGGTCACCAGCGTGCAGCTTGGCACCTTCCAACATGGACAAGCCGGTGAACAACTGAAAAAGTGGTGGATGCAACAAACCTAACAAATTTCAATATAAATGTTTGAAACGAACTAGGATTTAAATGATCAAAGCAGTGGCCAACAACATCCTCTCATGATCCATCCGTTCGGTTCATTTGCTTGAAAAGCCCCGAACTGCCCCGAACGGCTGGGGGCCCCGAGGGCCTTGTAGACCTCTTGCGCCACTCGGACGAAGCGCGCCGAGTCCTCAGCGATGTCAGTGTCGTCGATGCACCGCACGGCCCGGCGGCCGTCCAGGCTCAGCAGGTCGACGCCTGCGGCGGCGAGGAGTCCGTGAGGCAGCTGCCAGGTCTGTAAGGTGCAGGGGGCCCTGGCAACAAAAACAGGAGGTTTGAGTGTGGTTGAGCTATCTTTCAATATCTTTCAGACTAGGCTTGAGAATTCGACGAAGTGCCGAGGCAGTGCCTGTCGGATTTGAACAAGGCAGTTGAACAGGGGTTGAATTTGGTCGCGTGGTACTTGGGCAGTGTTTGCTTGAAAATAGTCAGGTATAGTATGGTATAGTCAGGTTTGTTGAGGGAAAATGCTGTTCAACCATAGCCTGGGCAGAATGCATGTGACTTCGGCATCCCTGCCTGGATGCCTAAGAGTGACGTTCCGCCGCTCCCAAAACCAAGGTGGAAGCTCCTTGCCAGGCGCCCAACGAGAAGAAGCTTCCTCAACCAAACTCCTTAGCCTTAGACTTCTGGAAACAAACCAACCGTTAACCCCAACAATCCTGAGGTCAATCATGCAATGATACTTCCTTCATCTTTAACCATCTTCAAGGATCCTTTTGATCTTCAAAGGCTAACTCCGTGTCACCGGTGCTCCCACGCTCCTGCAAAGGCACCGCATCCAGCTCAATCGCCGCGGCCCACACCAGCCGTTGCTGCGGAGTGAGCCAAGCCCAGCTGAGCGCCTCGCGCGCCAGGCAGCGCAAACGCTCCATGAAGGCCGCGTCGCGGTCTTCCGGGCCTCGAGACAAGGCCAGTGGGTGCCGAAAATGTGTATGCGCTCACGACGTATGGATTGCTGTCTTGGTTTGGGGGAGCTGCTAAGTGCAGACCCATGGATGCCACGGAAGGGCCAGCACAACGCTTACCCACTGATCACAACGAGCATCAATTACCCAAACACACCTGGATCTCACTCCGCCTACTGCTTGCAAGAGTCTCACTGCAACAGTCTTTGCCGTCACAGCATGTGGCACCAGCGAACCGCCCGTCCTCCTGGCAGCTCAACTGGGAACCCAAGAGAGCATCCTGGAATCCCGGCTTGTGTTCAAAAAGTCTCACTTGATACAGCAGTCAGTTGGAAATAATATTTGCTTCATTGGCAACTAATCTGCTTCAAGTTGCCTAAAAAATGGGTCCTTCTCAGTCTCGGGAGCGCTCCAGGACCAAGACCAACCGGATCCATCCTCCACCCCGCGAAGCCGACATCCATCCTCTCAGCCATCAGCCGCATCGCGCCCAAGACGCCGACCAGACCGAGGAGAAGGTGGCCGCCACGGCGTCCGCGCCTTCGCTGTGCCATCAGGGCCCATCAACGAGGTGCCTCTCAACCGCCCCACAGGAGTTGTGAGAACTCCGGAAGGCTCGGCAGCACTCTGCGCTCGGGCCGGTGGCTGCAAAAAATTGCACAGTTGGCCTACACCGACCTACGACACTCACGAATGTACTGTAGATAAATTGGATCCCATGCTGAAGAATTTGAACAACCAAACTT